ACCATACTTCATACATTTCATCATACTTTATATATTTCATCATACTTCATACATTCCATCATATTTTATACATTTCATCATACTTCATACATTTCATCATATTTCATACATTTCATCATACTTATTACATTTCATCATATTTCATCATACTTTATACATTTCATCATACGTCATACATTTCATCATACTTCATACATTTCATCATTCTTCATACATTTCACCATACTTCATACATTTCATCATACTTCATACATTTCATCATATTTCATACATTTCATCATACTTCATACATTTCATCATACTTTAACATACTTCATACATTTCATCATACTTCATACACTTCATCATACTTCATACACTTCATCATACTTCATACATTTCATCATACTTTAACATACTTCATACATTTCATCATACTTCATACATTTCATCATACTTTAACATACCTCATACATTTCATCATACTTCATAATTTCATCATACTTCATACACTTCATCATACTTCATACATTTCATCATACTTTAACATACTTCATACATTTCATCATACTTCATAATTTCATCATATTTCATACATTTCATCATACTTCATACATTTCATCATATTTCATACATTTCATCATACTTCGTACATTTCATTATACTTCATACATTTCACCATATTTATACATTTCACCATACTTCATACATTTCATCATACTTTATATATTTCATCATACTTCATACATTCCATCATATTTTATACATTTCATCATACTTCATACATTTCATCATATTTCATACATTTCATCATACTTCACACATTCCATCATATTTCATACATTTCACCAGACTTCATACATTTCATCATACTTTATAAATTTCATCATACTTTATACATTTCATCATTCTTCATACATTTCATCATGCTTCATACATTTAATCATATTTCACACATTTCATCATACTTCATACATTCCATCATATTTCATCATACTTTATAAATTTCATCATACTTTATACATTGCATCGTACTTTACACATTTAATCATATTTCACACATTTCATCATACTTCATATATTTTATCATCCTTCATACATTTTTCATATTTTTTCATACATAATGATAAATAAATAAATATCTATCTCATATATACTAAAGAGTAATTTAATATTTATATATTGTACAAAAATATCGAATAATATCTACTTCTGCAGATTGCAGAAAACTACTGAAGCTATTAGATTATTTAACCATTTATCAAATGCCTCGAAGAAGAGCATCGGACTAATTAAATATGTTATTCTGGAATAAACAAACACATTTTCAGGAAATCGATTTGAAACAACATCACGACATTTTCAGGGTTTATATATTCAACCTTACTGAGTTGTGAGTTCTAAGACACATTTCTTCTTAAAATCTCAAATTAAACATTTTTCATTGGGTTACCTCGTGTCAAAAGGAGAAATTCATGTATTACCACGACAAAAAATTACCCAACCAAACATGGACAACTTTTGCTGTGTTTTTGATTGGATACGTGGTGTTGCAGAAGCAATAAATAAACCAATGGTGTCGCTTTATTTGTATTGCTCTACGAGTGCAATGAATTTGTTTAATTTGTTCATATTCCTAAAGCTGGTGTCTATTTATAAAGATAGCTATATGCCTTTGAAGATTTGAAATCGAGAATACGACGTGTCAGAAACATAAGAATAAGTCAAGATAAAAAAAAGAATAAGTCAAAGTCGAGACTCGTCGTACAGTTGAATATTCTCCTTGTTGATTTCTGTTGAGTAGCCCACATCCTTTGCTCATAAGCCAAAAGTCCTATATTTAACCACAATAGATAGCTGTCTTGATAACACTTTACGACAACAAGAAATGAGCTCAAATCAATAAGTGTGCTGTTTTGACTGTACATGTAAATTTGATTTGAGATATATCGCCTTCATAATGACACCAGTGTTTCGAATGTTTTGTAGATTTTCTCGAGTGAAAGAATTATTGATGAAACGAGTTTACAGAGTGGATGGAATAAGTTGTCTGTGGAGTCTATAGTTACCATTTAATATCTCAGTACATACACCAAGATGGCAGATGCCAGTAAAAACAGGCGTGTAGTTATTGCCATGGATGGAAGCGATCATGCAAATTATGCGTTTGGATGTGAGTAAATTTATTATATTGAAATCAAAGTCATGATACTGTAAACTACGTACATACAAATCAATGTCGATGTTTAGAAATTTAGAATATAATTTTGTATGTTAAAAGTTAGAAATCGTCGTATATAACTTTGGTTATTGTACGTTTCAGTTCTTTACTATTCAACGTTTGTTTTCAGCTTGTACCCTAATTGACCTTTATCACATATCACAATTGACAATTGAACTGTGATAGGCTTTTCTCAACATAGTCATATGTATTGATTTACTCTAGATAACCTTTTTTATTGACTGAGTTTGAAAATGAATGAGTTGTCTTATCTTTTGGTTCGCTACTTTTTGAGAATCTATTGAAATTGTAGAATATCAGGCAATCTCTTGGTGGACTCATTAATAGCTTATCTTTGTATAAAAAAAATTATCCAAAATTTGACTTTTAACATGAGGAAAACTCCTAAACACCAACAAAAGTTGGTCTGATCATCTCCCAATATTGCCTGGCTGTAAACGTGCCAATATCCCATCAGTAAATCACGTCCGATGAACGGTATATGTCTCATCTGAACGACCTTCGACAAACGATGGTAAGGAATGATGTATGAGCATTTAAAGGCTTTGATACCGTACTTGACTCACGAAGCCATAACATATAGTCTACATCAGTTATATTTATAATCATATGTGATCGATTTACCTCATTTAAACTAATACGGTATTCATACTTACTTAAAGAATCCTAAATTGTCATTTGTAAGTTACGGTGTTTTAGTTAAGGCGCATTTGATCAGTTAACAAATATACATTGTTATAACTCGGCTACCAACTGTTTTAGTTGTATCTTTATTATCTATCTTGAAATATGAATAAATTCCCCAAATACCATGGAAAGGAGCCTTTTTTAATGGTACCGATTTTGTTCAGTGATCAAAAGTGCAAATTACATGAGCTACAAGCAACATCATGACAGGAAATGAAATTAAATGTTTTTAAGGCAATTATACACAGCTTTTCAACATAGAAATGAGAAGATCACGTGATATAAAACCTTGGCAGAAAGGAATTATTTATGTAAAATCTCCCATGTGCTCTTTAGTGTCAATATTTCCAAAATTTGAAATTAAATTCAATGCGGAAGTACCCATATAACATCACAGATTTGTTGTTTTAAGTAACCTAGATATTACTATTTAACTTACATATTCTTGCCAAGTGAACATATTTATCATCAGCGTAATAAAGAAAACATCAGGAACAAATATCTATTTTACACACATTATACGAGTAGAAATTATACAGTTTTGAGTAATTTATTATGATGTTTCTTCCTATAGTGCAAAATTTATTCTCTTTAAAATGCAGACAGGAGAGAGAGTCAGGAATATACAGATGTGCCTAGTTTCGACTTAAAAGAATGTAAATAACCAATTCTGTTATCAGATAACTCCACAAGCCTGTCATTCTATTTTGTCAACCTTCATCTACCTTGGTGTATAAGAACAAATTGTGTTTATTATGTAACTAATCCTGATAATATTGTCCATAGGGAAATAACAATGGTAATGACAAGTTATGGTTATGAAAGTTGGGTTCGAGGTGAAGATAGTCGATTAATACATCATCAAAAAATCCATATGAGTTTGTGTTTGCCATAATATAGTGTTTTGTTTATCTTACCAATTTCGAAAGAGATCAAAAAGCCGACATCAGGTTACCCAACATATTGTAGACTTTTCCACTGTCGTCACTTCCTTGTCGTAACTAATATTATGAGGTGCTTATACTGTCTTCATGTGTAGTATGACAAGTTAAATACCCAGCTGAGCTCTATTTACCAGGGAAATTTAACTGGTAATGAAATTCCTCTTTCCACTTTGATTTATATAGGCTACAGAAATGGTTTAATCATGTTGGATGTCTGAAGCTAGCTCAGACTTGATTACATTAAATCTAATTGAAATGACAATCATTCACAACCCCATTTCAACAGGATTGATCCAGACGTAATTTTTTTTAAGTATATATTATGAGTGATTAGGATCGCATTAGAAACGCTTCTGACCGAGGAATGCAACTCGTTTTACGTCCTCGGCCACAAGCGTTATAAATGTATTTGAGTCAATCTCGGCAAAATACTACATATTGTAAACGTAATAGAAATAATGTAGGGTCAGTGGCGTTTCTACGGGGGGTAAGAGGGGGGAGGGGGAGAGGTGGGGCTGCGCGGCTCCCTCACATAATGTTTCCTAGAAATAAAGGAAAACCAAAGAATGTGCTCTCTCTCTCTCTATTACCTTATAGATTTTTGCATGACATTCAATGTATGTGAATTAGTTGGATAAAAAAAAACAGAGTACAGAAAATATTCCTTACAATATGGTGAATAAATAGATTTCTGTCAATCAATGTCAGTGATATCCGTTATATTATTATATCAGATATTCAGATATCATCAAAATGAAAGGCAACTGTAAGAGTTGTAAGTCTAATTTTCTGCGCCTGACAGGCCTATGAAAACGCACAGTAGGTTGCTACGAAATACATTGGTTTCAAATAACAGGAACTATTGACAACCCAAATAAAGTCAATCTATAATCAGGTACAAGAAGATCTGGATAAAATGACAACCGTAAGATATCATTCCGATAAAAATATTCATTATATTTCTAGAATCTTAGATATGTTCTAAATATTTAGACGTTATAAGTTCATACAATACCATACAGAATGACCTTTGATGACCTTTCTAAATGAACGTATAATCACACAAACATGTAGGTCTACTCTGAATAGTTTTTCACTTGATGAATTTGCTTCAAGCATTTAAAGCTAAATTGCAGAAGTAATAATATCAGTCTGTTCGTGACGGTGCATTCGGCAACCTTTTCATCGTGAAACCAAACTGACATTCGTTCAGTATGTCAATATGTCGTTGCCAAAGTGTGTGCTACGTAGATTGCTTCTAGACTAATCCGATTAAAATATTTTATTTTCGTTTTTGTTTTCGTTACTTCACCCATGATCTTTTATTTGTTGGAACAATGGTTAAATAATATATAATTTATGCGACCTATCAAAGTCACAGTTAAAAGAAGGTTTAAGAAAGGCTGGTTGCCAGCGGTAATTTGATTCTTTCTAGACTAAAGGCCTACATTTCTAATTAGGTGGATTCCTAGTTTTCTGGAAGCTATTTTTGCCTGGAAGTATAAGAGAAAGTCATGTATATTTGTTTATGGCTAAAATCGATACCTTGTCGTTATAGATGAATCGATTTGACTCAAATCAACTTGGGTCAGGGAAACATTCAGTTTTATTGACCACTCTTATTACAGACAGATATTTTACACAAGACGTGTGGATATGAAATTCCTTCGCTTAAAACATTAAATTATCTAATTCCATCTTAAGCTTGTTTAGATAAAAAAAAAAAGCACCAGCAGTACGAGAGTATACAACCATAATAACTTGCCCCTCTGGAACTACCTCTCTATTTGCAGCTTGTCTACTCCTACACTGTAGAGTCCTGCAGATTATACATTTTATTTAGTTTCCGATATTCCTTTTTCGTCTTAAGCCTTCTTTTCTCAGCATTGAAGTGTAAATCAGGACCAGTAGCAAGCTGTCTTGACCGTTTTCTTTGTATACTTCATGAAAGGATCTTTTATCTTTTGAAGTTATATCCGTCTTGAAGACAAAGTCTGACGGTTTGTTTTGTGATTTTGTGATCACGATATCATTGTATATTTTCAGATTTTGTGGAGAATATCCATCGACCATCAGATGAAGTAATATTAATTTACTGTGCTGATATCTCCATTGTAGTTCAGTCACGTAAGTTCGTAAACATTTATCATTAATTAACACTCTTGAGTAATTACAAAAGAGAAACAAAGAAGGGCTAGAAGGGCTTTCTCAAAGGGTACTCACATTTTTTTCGTCAGGAACTATTTTAAGAAATTTGAAATTGGAAACGTGACTTCCTTTTTATTCTATCATGCTATCCATCAACTCCAGTGTGCACTGTCTGTTGTTAAGACAATCTGGCGGAATTCCTCACCACTCTCAGCCACAAATGTTTGAATCTGAGCAACAACAATGTTATTTTAAACCTGATGCACGTTGTAGATAAAATATACAGATGGATGTATAGTATACAGCAATATTATTCTTCGTTAGATATTAATACAATCCCTTTTAAACACCACAAGCTACATTTGTACAAAAACAATCAACTAGGATGACGGTATATGCAGAGGAACCTTTTTTTTGCAGTGGCGGTGCCAGCCTCTCGAGATTGGTGGTACAAAAGAGGGCAGACTGAGTTAATGGGGGACAAATGTTGGAGTTAATATTTAAAATGCGACAATTTTGTGGAAGCGCTTGTGCGCACGCCTCCCATTAGAGGGTTCTCTCCTGGGAAATTCTATTATAATTAAATTGATTTTGTGTATCTGACACATATTTTGGTGGGAAAAAATCATATTTTGTAATCGATTTCAATTGAAGAGAGGTTACAATATTGGGGATTCACGTCATTTTCCTCTAAACCTCAAAGAGTTCGTTGTCGTTGTCCAAAATATGGTACGTTTCTTTTTCACCCCTCCTCAAAATCACATGACAGAGCCTTTGATTCTCTCGGACTACAGATGAATATTTACTATCCATCAGGCTTAATTAATGTTATTGTACACCAAACATGACTTCATTATTTCTTTACCATTCATTATATCGATTTATCGTCATGCCCACATGGACTTCATTATAAATGTCAGAAATTCTATAATTCTATAACCACCATTGCATTGTGTTTTGTCATCAGGGTCATTTAATAACATTTGCCCAGAAAGTGCCATTCTACTTTTCAGATACATACAGCAAATAGTTTTGAATTTTGAGTTCCGGTGCATCAGATCACATAAACCGCCATCGTTTGAGATGGTCAGCAAATATTTAACCATCTACAATAATAATAAATAACAAATTTCAACGATTTTCCCATGATATCACGATGAAGTATCATTGTTTTGACAATGGTTATTGAATTGCTATATGATGGATTGATATTCCAGGTTGGGATTAACGAGACTATGTTACAAAATAAAAACTAGATTTAAAACAACTTTCATGTAGTAATAGAATTTTAAATTGTACTGATGCTGGGATTTCATTGATTTTATATTATTTTAAAATGAAAAATCATGTGTTAAATACAAGTTTTTGTAGTAGTCATTATGGATTACTTTTGTAATTGAAATTTCCAGTTTAAAGGGATTGTATCAGAAAGATAATAACGATGCATAGAACATTTATCATTGCCAGGTCTCGAACGTTAGTCAATTACAGACTTTTGTCACTTCCACGTCCGTTTTAAACATACATGAACAGTCTATTTTAGCCAGACCTTGCTTATTTAATAAATACCACAACCAATTGCTGATAGATATATGTAATGTAATATATATAATTACGATGTTCAATGTAATGTAACTATGATAGTTATCTTTTTTTCTATATTAGCTCTCCGTGCTGATAAAGGTAAAATAGAAAAAATGATCTCAGATCAACAGAAAAGCATGGAAGATATTACAGAAGATCTCAATTTAAAAATACAGAAATCGGGGGTAGGTTGATTTCAATTTCTCTTGTCTATAATTATGTCTGCAGTTACATGGTTCGTAAATATTACCATTGGATACCAAGTCCAATGGTCAATGACCTAGTCGAAACTTCGCATTAAAGTGATCGTCAAGTGGTTTCCTATATTGTTTCTTTGACAGACTTAATATGGGAATGCCAGGAATTATATGAATAGCAGGAGGCATATTTTACTGCACTGAATCACATTTATCTTCATTATTCTTCTCAAGTTTCTGTTTTTCTGTTTTATGCAAGAAGATACTACACAATGATAAATTAGTGCATATTTCACCCCATCATTCCATCCCGATCATTCCATTGATGACTTTCTCATCATGCCTATAGATGCAGTTTCTACATCACCTATATAGCATCAAACCTAAGCTTAGATGTCCAATTTACAACGCGAAAGTTACTGGATCGATCAACTACAGAATGTGGGGCGAACTGGACTCAACATTCAACACGATAACCAGATAATCCCCTTTGTAACGTCATTTGATTCTACAGCTTCCATAATAGTCAAACGCCGTTACTCGGAACTTCAGAACAAATTTCCCCATGTATACACAAAACGTTTGGTTGTAGCTTACAAAAGAAATCAAAATCTTAGCAATTTTCTCTTTCACGGTAGACTTGAACCATTGAACAATGCCCATTCATCTAAGAGCAGATATTTCTTCATATAAATGTTTCGTGTTATTTCTAAGTAAGATTTCAGGGAATACTTATTTCAGGACTGGTGCCATGGCTATACACAGTATATTATATAACATACAGTGTATGTTTGTGTGTGTGTCTTTTCAACTAAAATCATACTAATGACTAACTAATTTCACATAATAAGCTTATCTAATGTTCTGTGACCTAGGCTAGTGCTTTCATTGAGACTCGTCTCAATACATCCTAACACAAAAAAATGACCAACCATGAACAACTGTGATCAACTGATCCATGTACAAAATCAGATTCAGATTTTATAAGAAAATGGAATACAAGAAAGTGATAGCTGCTCTAGAGTCAGTTGCGAATTTCAAGTGTCGTGTGTGCTCGTGTATATTCGTTATCTATCAATTTTCCAATCACTTCTAAATGAAACTGATAAAACATATTGATAATGATTATGAGATTTCTTGGTGAATTCTGTTGGGGCTGATAAAATGAATTCATGAATTAAATATCGGTTTCTCTTAGACTTTACTCAGTCGTATATATTCCATCACTAATTTCTGAATTCTAACTTGGTTAGGCCTAATAAGTAGGGTAGAGAAAAGGTTACTACGACCAAAAACTTTTTGTCATTTCTAATTAATGCTCAAAAATCACCCGATACATAGAAAAATACCCTGGTATACCTCTTAGAAATCTAGGTATTGTTTACTATTCCAGATAAATGGAAGAATAACCCGTGTAATGGATAATGATATAGGCCATGCTATAGTTAAACAAGCTGAAAAAGAAGGTGCATCATTAATAGTTACTGGTACAAGAGGAAGAAGTAAACTTAGAAGAACATTTCTAGGTGGTGTTAGTGAATATATCGTCAACCATGCGTCTATGCCTGTTCTTACGTGTAGATACGTTCCGCAAAAATAAACTTCGAAGTCGGAAAATATTTTAGAAATGACATGGTTTTATTGATGTACAAAGTTCATCATTTGTGTGTGGACAATGTTTCGATGGTCATCGCTATAGGACACTTGAAACTTGGATTGAAATTCCAATGGATTCGTACATAATCCACACTGACCGGTTGTTCGGAATGAACAATTAGCGCTAGGCCTACCTCAAACGAGGCACCTACACATAGGGACAACAATTGGAAAGTTTCTTGGTAAGTTTTCGATACAAACCATGTCTTCAAACATTGTGAATTGTGTCTCAAAGTCCGTTATCATCAAACCAGTTAAAGTAATCGATAGGCCAATCGATAGTCTTTTATTAACTTACTAATCAATAAAAACATTACTATTCCACGTTCAAAATACGACGCCTGATTCCAAAAAGACACTGACGACAGTCCCTTGAGTTTTCTATTTAATATTCATTAATATCGTTAATCTTTGCTGTCAATTTGTGACAATAAATATTTATCATTGTGTACATTGATTAAATGGTGAAGAAGACATATTAAATCATGTCTCTTTCTTGGACTCTCCTGTTGTGAGCCTATGTTACTGGTGAGAAATGTGACCTATCGATTAAACCGGATAAAATATAAAATACCAAATTTAACCATATATTTATATAGCTGAAAGCCTCCTTTCTAATCAGTGAGGTATCATTGAGTGAAAATAAACATCTGATCTAAACAATCCATCAACAACTCTTCTAGGGCTACATTCACATATATATAATGGTACAAAACCTGTTGTAGTATAAATACCATCTGATATAACACAGATTTAGGCTAAATCTTGAAGCTGTCTTTTTATAAATAATTTCTTGTTTAGCCTATTTGTTACATGTATTTATTGGAATATTGGAACTTTTTACATTAGGAAAGTGAGTTCCTGCTTGCTTCATTGGGTTTTACTACTCTAAACCAGTTACATCGTCTAGATACCTTCAAATCGATATCTTACAATAATAGCTGATTATATACCTTTTTTACAGACCAATGTTTTATGTCGTAGGTTCTGTTCCAACTAAATCGTGAATTATGTCGAACTATCTCTATGTTGAAATTCAATTTATCCATCATTTCTATAAATCGTTGAATAGGTGTCCACAGTTGGATATTCAAGCATAAATACACTCATAAATACATAGATGAATGAATATTTGATTCATTCTGGATGAACAAGATTTTTGTTGACCTGTATCTTGAACACCTGAAACACTGAAAATCAAGTTTGTCAATCCTTATAAGTCTATAGGCTAGAGGTTCATTAATTATTCAAATCAAGTTAGTCAAGTTTTCAAATTAAATTTCTGACATTCTTAGAGTAAAATAATATCTTAATTTGTACGTCTATTGACAATAATGATATGATATGGCGTTTCAAATGAAACAGAAGATTTTAATAGCGTCGGATGGAGAGAGGGATTCGGAATGGGCTTTCGATTGTAAGTAATTTTTTTGTTCATATTATATTTAACATTTATAGATTGCAGATTTAGTTTTGGTTCGAAAAATTGCTATAAGAAACCATTAAGGCCTAATGGATTTCTCGTCATTTTCACTTAATCTGCATAGGAATATAGTTATTGAATTCGTAAGAAGAGAAGAAGTAACATTAAATCATAAAATATGTTATTAATGGCTCGAATCGTATTGGGCCGAGGTTTATCGACAGTGTCGAGGCAAAATGCTAACAAAAGAAAACTGAAACTTTGAAATTAAATACATATTAAATACACGTCACATTAAAACTTACTGCAGTGATATAGACAGACTAATTCTGATGTCAACTTGAATTCTTTGTTTTCTGATTTCCCAGGGTATTGTAACAATCTTCATAGACCAGGAAATAATGTTATTATTGTCAGTTGTACTGAGATTGGTGTTAAATTGGCTACTATTGCTCCAGGTAATTCATACAAATTTCTCATTTAGCTGTCTATTAGAACATAATGGTACGTTGGCAAACCAGTAAACCAACCGGAAGCTAGGAGAGTTGATACAAAAATTCCATTGATTTCAGCCATTCATTTAAAGAGACTGTTAAAGAGGTTTTGTAAACTTTTTATGATAGCATCTATTTGAGCCATTCCAATTTTCAGTCTGGCGTCTGTGGTTCGCATAAAACTAAGCGTTTTATGACGACACTATCAAAAAAGCTCTTAAATTATCATTAGAGCAGTTTTTGTCTGAAATGAAAATTGACCTGGTGCAAATCAATGCTAACCGTGTCCTCGATACATATAAAAAGTTTCCAAAACCTTTTTACGTTACTTTCAATGAATCGTTAGGCCTATGTATGAAAGTGTGTGGTTCTGTTACATCGTTTACATTTGAAGATGGTAGTAAAACATTAAACAGTCGTAATTTTGATTCTTCATGCATTGCGATGTCAAACTTTTTGATTCTCTTCCACTTTTACATGATTGATTATTACTATACTGATTTGCAGAGCTATTCCTTAACCCCATGTGATTTTATATTTACGTTCAAACGCAACAGTATCTTATGAAGGAAATGTTTTTAATTGATATTGTATGGACTACAAAGAGGAAAATATATGAGAAATAGTGTAGCACAACCATTTACTAACTTTACATGACATGAATTATGCACAAACCGATATTTTCTCTTGATGTGCAAGGTTCAGTTTCCCTATACTGCGTTTTAAGATAAACAATCTATTCTACCATTTGTACATTATTGATATTGTATTCAGGTGTTATAGTAACCGTATAGTAAACACGTCATATCGTTGGCATCGATAATTACTAACACCTGAAGGCGTATATATATAAAATTAATCTAGTAACCTTTTTGACCTTTGATGGTACTAGTAGGCTCTTGTCAGTTCCATCCATGATAATATAAACCAAATTTGTTGACTTAGACAGTCATGGATTTAGTTCACAATGGTTTATTGTCCCATCCAAACGACATAACGTTCTTTCCCGCTCAGCCTCACACCACTAGAATCCGATCCGAATGTATCCTAGGGTCGAATAAGGGATCCCAAAGTAAACAAATCCCCGGCTATACAACCCAGTGTTTCAACAGGATGACTTATATAAACCCGTGGATATGTACGCTATAGTAACATGTTTAACGATTGAACTACCAGGCACACCGAAAGAGCAATTAGAGCCAAATTAAAGGGAAATTACTTTTCATTGTGAAACTCAATGTATTATTTTTTACAGAAGCGATAATAAATGGCGACGAAACAGCTATTGAAGTCTTTATTGAAGAAGAGAATAAAATTTTAGCAGAAAAAGTTTCCAAATATCAGAAGAAACTTCGAAGTGCAATGGTAAACATTTTTAAACTTTGATTCTTCGTCTTCTGAGCAGTTTACTATCTACACGGTAGTTGGATTTGGGTTTGGCTTAGGGAGCCGCGGTGGCTCAGTATGGTAGACTCTTGCTCGCTAACCTGAAAGGTCCTGGATTCAATCCCGGCATAGGTCGAGATAATACCTTCGGATTTTTCAACCAGGTTTCCCCCTGTCAGTGATGCAGGTAAGAGGGACTGACATGGAAAAAAGCGTCTAGTTGTTCGGATGGGACAATAAACCGAGGCCCCATGTGCTACAGGCTGTGCACGTTAAAAATCCCTCGACAGTTGGAAATCGAAAAAGAGCAGGCTAATGCCGCTGTCCTGGCTAAATTTCCCTCATTGCACCCTGCATGGCTTTGCCCGTCTTCATTAGCCCACATAGTGCAAAATGTAGAACGCAAGACATTTCATTTCATTTGGTTTTGGCTTAATTACCCATTTAATATTCAATTAACACTCGTCAGTTAACAACAATAGGAACGTAAATTTAACTGAACTGCTTTGTTCACCAAACACGCGTTCGCATGGTGGGGGTTGGCATGTGAGTACATTGTAGACAATTTCAGATGACTCCATCCCATCGAGTTAAAGAATAGTCAGTCTTTACTTTTCATTTTCAGTTGGTTGGTAAAGTACTCACATCGTGTCACACATCTCCTAGTGAAGTTATTTTAAACACAGCAGCATCAGAAGAGGTGAACATGATCATTATTGGTTCTAAAGGATGCGGACTTAATCGACAGGGTGTGGGATCAGTATGCAACTACCTTGTATCACATTCAACAATTCCCGTTATTGTATGCCGACACCCAGATGCTGTTAACGACGGTTACGTTTCCAAATATGTCGTCGATCCTAAAACGATGAGGTTAATTCCACGTAGAAGTTTTCAAAGCAGCACAGAACCAGAGGGTATACCTGTGGCAGACTCAAGTGCATTGAATCAAGCTTCTACAGCGACGCATAGAACTATGGAAGAAGAACACAATGCCTTGTCTGTACAAAACACAGACAGACGGTTGTCAACAGGGATACCAGTTATAAATGTATCTATGACCGATACAAGCAATGTTAATCAGATAAAAAAATTATCAGATGACTTGAATAACGAAGAAACCCAACAAAACCACGCCAGCCTGGAGTCGGATGAAAGTATTTCAACAGAGATGGCAGCTGATGACAACAAGATGATAACTAGACAGACAGAACCTACTCAGTCAAATGGAGATGTTGAAGATGAGGATTTAAATAATGATATCACAGAAAATACACCATCTGAGACGCTGGAAGATAAAGACAATCTACAATCCTTAGGCAACGGTAAAAGTGAGTCTAAGATGCAGAATGAAGTTCCCAAGTTATCAACAAAGGATGTATCTATTTTGTTAAGTACAAGATTAAATAAGTCATCAAGAATAGATAGTCCACAGATACAAGGCGGTCCATTATCTAACTATGGGAAGGTTAAAACAAACTCTCCATCATCATCTAACTCAAACGAAGAGGATAGTACTGGTAGTAGTGTTCAGAAAGAAATCGTGGAAAGGAAGACGTAAATTTCATAGTAGTTCCGAGAGAAAACCACAACAACGAAGAGATATAGGTGTACAACAATATCCATAAAGAATCTGATTCAGATGACGAGGATAACAACATTACCTCTGCTGAAAACAGTAGTTATCTTTCACCAACGCATCAACATACAAGAAATTAATGTTAATCAATGTAACTGAAACTTGAGTCAAACACTTATGTACATTGTATTGGGGATTATTTTGCAGATACAGACGAGCAAAATTACTTGAATTTTAGAGTTAAGCCTAGTCTGTGTTTGGCCATCATTGATACAGGACAACCAGATGAGACTCATAGACACTGCTTTATGGAACAACGATCACTGGATCAAGTTGCATAAAACTTTCACCAGTGATTGTTGTTCCATATTTGTTTTCACGATATTTGGACTGGACACATTACCCAACTGATCAGTGATCTTAAAAAAAAAACAATTAATATAAATGATGTTTTAATGAAAATAAACATACTACTGTAGCAATATCGGATTAGAACTTACATACCTTTAAATTACAGATGTCATATTCATTATTTAATTGAAAATAACAAGCAACAACACAAAAACAATACCAATTAACCCTAACTAGCTCAATATTATTTACAAAAGATAAAATACCCGACAAAGTAACATAAGCAAACACAGAATTTGAAAGAACAGAAATATAATCAAAAAAAATTTTATATCAACAAAATTGTGTAACATTTGCAAAACTGTGCTGGTCAAATCTTATAGAGAAAAGTCATTCACTGATGAAAAATTCTAAAATAAGTTCTCTCTATGTGGAGAAAAACATCACATTTCCCAGTGTTAAATTGCATTCTCAATCAGCTTCATCGTTAGGGTGGGGTGCGTGAGGGCTGGGCCCCAGAAGGTGAGAATTAAGCCCCAGCAAAACCTTCTTCAGTTCAGCAGAGATTGATACATTTAAAGTGTCTTTGTACAAAATCAAAAAGATATAGATTTTGATACGTTTTTAGTAACTCAAAATAGTCAGAAATGAGTTCTCTGGGCCTTTTCAAATGTTCAGAGTTCAAAATCTGAGCCCCAGCACCAATTCATTCCTGGTGACGGGCCGTTGGTTACTGAAAACATTTGATTAACTCTGTAAGAGTTTGTAAACTCTTACAGCAGAGGTTGCAGAGGTCATATCAACTAATTATATCATTTGTTGTTTCAAAACCCCATAGATGTAAAGTTCATCTGATCTTTTGGTTTCGACATATTTTTTGAACTATGATATTTTTGAAGAACGAAGATTATCTTGCCAATGTATATGTTTTGGGGAATTTGCATCATTCAATATTCATATTCAGAAGAAAGTTGACCAGATTATGATGTCAGTATTACAAATACTAATAAAGCCAATTAATATGTCAAATATTCTGAAATTGCAAGAACCACAGGTTACAGAGATAAATAGGCGCAATTACAAGCTATAGGTGTCCCGATATAAGTCCAGTATAAACCAGAAAATCTGTCCAAACTCATACTAACCTGAGCAAGTTAAAGCTTCTAAGCACGTCTATCTATATAGGTGTAAATGCCATTTGTAAGTAAACTTAAAGAATATATTTACAGTAAGCTTTTAGCTGTCATATGATGATGGTTGGAGTTACAATGTAAGACTAGTGTCAAGTTACATCACTAAGGAAATACCTGGAATTGGAATTATTTGTTCTTAACACTGCCACTTTATTCAAATTCTTTGAAAAGTTCAAGCCTTTACCTCAGTGTTCACTAATAGTTGTTAATGTTGGTGATTGTGTTTAACACATGATTAAAATAATATAAAACGATATAATGCTAATAGGTCAATCAAATTATAGCCCTATCATCAACCAATCAGCAATCAACAATTGTAACTTTCCCAAGTCTACTTTTATATCTTTCAACAGGTTGGGCTTGTTGATTCTTTATGAACAAATGTTTATTTACATATGCAGAACCAAACTCAATCCACAACTGATGAAAAATTATAAACTTTACTTGGCAAATCCTCAATTTCATCTTTAATCTGATTGTATAAATTTTGTAAAGAATTAGATGCGTGGAAGTTTTTCTATTTCATGTTGAGTATTTAGAATACTTGTTCATGATATGATCTCAGACACAGGTTCAGATGTAACATCTTCTAATGGTATTGCTGTTTGTTCACTTATACTGTATTCTATTTCTTCACAGTTATTACTGTCATCTAATAATAATACATTTTCTTCTTGAACACCACTGTCTACAAAATACAGATCAATACATATATTATTTAGTTTAGTCTCTAATGTAGTATGATTAAAGGTCTGATCCACAGAGAATGTTCAGATTTGTTATTTAGGATGGAGGTTTCATCTTAGTAATTATACACAACAAAATTATAAAGCTGCAGCTATTAGATACTAGGTTTAACATTAACAGCGATTTTTAAAAAGTATAGTAATAGAATATACCTTTAGAATAGATTTCACTACTATTGATCTAAAATGAATAAAATATACATATATAATACAAATATCAATTGAATTGAATTAAATATGTATGTCATACAAATACAAAACTTGATGTGCATGATAATTGCAATGAAAGAATGAAAAATAACATTCCTTTTAAAGTTTCAATTATCATCTATTCTTCCCTGCTTGTAGAAACATTACCAGCATTATATATATATATATATGTTTACTGTAATATTTTTAAAATTGTCACATTCCAGAAGGCCCCAAGAAATTATTCATTTCAAGTCTGGGACACTTACTTGACATTCAAACTCTGTATTACCTTCTCCATTATTTGATGTTTCTAATATAACTTTAGCTTCTTTTTTTGGCCGACCTCTGCCAAGTTTTTGTTTTGATGAACCTACGTGATTATCAGTCTAAAATGATGAATATTATGTAAAGTTAAAGCATTACAAATATAAGCAAGAATGTCTGTAAATCTAATAAAAGAAAATCCTTAAGTATTTTATAAGATAGTTTCAAAACTATCATCATCAGATATCTATCATATCGTCATTGACATAATAATCTATTTTGAACAATTTAGGTCAAATACAACTTACTAAAATATGTTCTATAGTTGCCTCATCATCTCCAACTGTCAGTATCATCTAGAGATATAATACGTCATAAAAATATTAAATTTGATAGCAAAAAGCAAACGAACATCCATAAAAAACAAGACATATACAATCAAAGAACTGTTGACATTTTGAGTATTTGTTTTTGATTTTCAGGTGAGATTGGAACAAAGTACATAAAGGATTAAGAATCAACCTAAATATCATGAAAATACAGATCTAGATTTTTCCTGGTGTTCCAAATCAGCTCTGACCAGTTAGTAGTAGTAATGGTTTTAAAATTAGATCAGGTATTAGAGAATCTGTTGAATTACTTACTGTTTCTGTAGCTTCAGATGGTAGAGATTTTCTTGGTCTCCCTCTGACTTTCTTTGGTTTATCTTCTATAGGTGTATCTATCTATAACAACAAAAAACATCACAATCTCTAATAGATGAAAGGAAAGGTAGCAAAGCAAGAAACTGTGTCTTGTATGATATTACTGTGATCAATCACTTAAAATCAACAATCTCAAACACGATTTCAATTTGAATGCATGAAATGGGAAGGAAGGGATAAGTTACTTACTTTTGGGTATTTTCTTGGTCGTCCTCGACCTTTACTAGTTGATGGTGAATCATTAATGTCAGATTCAATATCTGATACCTGAAAAAATATGTTTTGATACAATTTTAGAGTACATCTTGGCCTACATCAACAGATAAATAGGATATCTTGCCATAACTACGGCATGTATTCTCTAGTCATATCTCCCAATATGTTAGACTGAATTAATGTGTGAAATTATAAAGACAATATCTTTAGCCAAAACAATTCAAAACTTACAGCTGTCATAGGATGTTTCCTGGGTCTTCCTCTCCCTTTACTTGGTGATGATGATGTTGATATAGTTTTCTACAAAAAAAATTTAAGTTTGGATAAAACCATATAGTTTGCAAAGGAAGCAGTTACTGTATTAAGATATCATAAAGACCACTTCCACATTATTCAGTTTGAATTCAGTTTTTTTCAAGTGGTGTTACTGTAGTTAAGTTAAAGTTTATATAAAACTATAAAGTTTGGAATAGAAGGTTACCTGCAGAAACAAATTAACAAACCTTAGTATGTTTTCTAGGTCGTCCACGTCCTTTACTCTTACTCTCAGATGAAGATACTGAATTACTGTCGTCTGCAATATCTTCTATTTCTACCTGAAAATCAATGGTTCATTCATTATCAATATTTTAAATAACTGTAATATCAATCATTTTGAATATTTACACAAAATGTTTCTAGATATGTCCACTATGAAAATTAAAAGTATTATTATATTATATTATATTGATATATACAATACAGGAGTTATAATTACTTTAGTTCGTGGTCGACCTCTCCCTGGTGATGATGGTGTTCTTATAATAATTTCTGAGTCACCATCTATGTCTATCTACAGAGAAAATAATAATACAGGTCAAGCTCAACCAACTAGCTTTGCTTACTTCAGCAATATGATTACAATCGACTTGTAGCAAAAGATATACTGGTCTTTTCTTTTGAGGGTTATTTCAAGATTTAATCAATAAATTGTGATCCTGTAGCGTTACCCTATGGTATATACAACCATTACTGGCTAGGGCAACAGTTTAAAGCTTTAGCAATAATTGAGCGAGACTTTCATATCACTTCTGGTCATAAAGACTACTGAAATTCTGAGATGTCACAAACAAAGTTAGTTACTAACCCTGGGATATTTTCTAGGTCTACCTCTACCTTTACTAGTAGATGGGGTATAATTATAACCTTCATCATCGGAATAATCAGACTCATTCTGTAAAATAAAGATCATTATAATCATTAAAGTCCTCTAACGTTTCCATTTCATTTTATTATAAACATCAATTACACTTTCAATGAAAGTTAGAGTCAGGTGGAAGCAAGTCAACGATGGCTGAATCTCAATTTTCAAGACAGTTATACCTTATTATGGGTACTAAGAAATTCAAAATCAAGTACACTTTAGTATTAAAAGACTACAACTTACATATTCAGTATAAGATATTTGAGGTGTTCTACTGATACCTCTTATAGGTGTTGGTACTGATCTCTGCAAATAAAAACAAACCCAATTTCTATTTTCAATTTTTCAATCATATAACAATAGATGAACATAAACTACATCACTACTAACTTTCAACTTTTTGTATTCCAAGAATAAGACATGTATGTACCTAAAAGTACAGTGCCATTCTTGTCCAAAATTTGTTGACCCTTAACATTTTTGACAGTTTTTTCAACTAGTGTAGGCTCAGATACATGAGACAGGGTTTAATATGGTTTTCACACATCATAATCAAATCTAATTTTATGACATCTTAACATAGTTTCTTTCTAATCATGTAATTAAGGGATTTGAGTTAAAGGAAATGGATTTAGAATGCATGTTCATTTGGGTCACTAAAATCTATGCATCAAACTATACAAAAACTTTCACAACATCTATAACTATGACAGCTAGACCTTCATCATTAACATTGAACAGTAAATATTTTACTATTATTGTTTTTATATTCATGAACAGCACTTACCTTCAGTGGTTTTCTAGGGCGCCCACGTCCCTTACTTGTTGATGGTGTATTATAAATTTCTGAATTATCACTTGTTCTAACCTACGATTGCCAATAAATAATAATCAATAATAAATCATAAAAATGAAAAAAGTAGACCTAATATTAGCTAATTTTAAAGAAGCAGTCTGTATCATTTCAATGAAAATCATTGGGAAGTTGATGATAAATACAACAACATTTCGTCTAATTGAAAATGTAATTTTTATACAACACAAACTTATACATTGAATTTTTAGTGGAGTCAATTATTGGGAGATTTTCTGCTGCAGAATATGGTATCAAATAGTATTTCAGTGGTAAAGAAAACTGTCCGTATTGTACAGCTTTCAGGGCTTTAGATAACATTAATTTGGGGGGTTTTAGGATTGTCTAGGCCCCCTGATGCTAGAGCTCCTGAGAAGGCTAGAGTTGCATGTTCACTAAATTAGACCTCCTTGGAGGTTAAATAATTCCAGATCAATCAAGTTCTATAGTTGATATATTTAAATCTTCAAAGTTTGATTCTTTTAAATGTCAATACAGCATTATTTACCATTAGCCTTTAGAATTACCTGAAAACCTGAAAATTACGAATTTTTTTCTTCCAGAAACGGTAAATTCCCTAGTTGACTAATCATTTTGCTTGAAGTTCAAACGTCCAGGACATTGAAGTGGTTGTTTTGGGTGCACTTAAATGTAATCTAAATTCCTGATACAAGTATTTATCATAAAATGAAATGAAATGGAGTTTTATGCCCTACTTTTTTTTTACTTTTTGCACCACGTGGGCTAATGAAGACAGGAAACGCCTTGCAGGGTGCAATGAGGTAAATTTTGCCAGGACAGCGGCATTAGCCTGCTCTTTTTTGATTTCCAACTGTCGAGGAATCCTAAACATGCACAGTCTGTAGCACATGGGGCCTCTGTTTATTAAGCCTTCTAGAAAGAGGTATTCAGTTCAATTCAAAATTATACACAAGGTCTCTTACTTTTAAATTTTTTCTAGGTCTACCTCTACCTTTACTTGTTGATGACTGACTTTCAGCTTTACTGGTAGATGGGGTTTGATTAAAACTTTCATCATCTGAATCATTCTGTAGAATAAAGATATCAATGTATTGCATTGTGGTGGTAAACAGAATTCCTAGTGGTTTTTTGACATAGTGAAATGGAATTTATAAGTTTCAGATATAACTGACTTCTAAATCTGGACTCTACATATTTCATTGATGTGCATTTATAATGATAGTTACTATATCTGTTGCAGTTAGGTATACTTACATGATTAACATGGTAAGAACGACTACCATATTTACCATTAGTTGGCTTTATAACCATCAATTCTATCTGAGTAAAAGAAATGTTATGGATAAAATTCTAAAATATACTTATTTTGCCATGGAATTCACTTATGTCAATCATAGGACTTAGTTTCATCTATATGGATAGAAATATAAGAAACAGTTCTGCTACAATTTAATAAAACCGTAGATCCACTCCTGATATTTGACTATGAACACATGGTTCTCTGTGTCAAAATGTGTGAATCTATACATAATTCTAATTCTAATAATTAAATATTAATGTCAAACAGAGTCACCACATTTAGCATTCATAAATTTGATATATAATATAACAAATACCTATGTAAAGAAATTCTTACTTGTTGTGAAATGGTATTTTTTACTGGACGTCCTCTAACATTATTGGGTATGGTTACAAACTTCACAGGTAGAGTATCAAGCTACAATTATACAAAATAAAAGAAAAATCAAAAACTAACAGTTGTCATTACAGATAAACCTACTCTTATCAATTTTTGTAGAATCATACCAAAATTCAAACTTGTCCGAAGTTTCATGAATATTAACCTACAAACTAAATTTTATAAAATTCTGTCTCTGACATAAACTCTCTACTTTATTGGACACAAATTTTCAGTATATCAAGAGGTGAAACTCTGTCAACGTTTTCAATATAATCATATGTATTCTATAGAATTTACATACCAAGTCATTATTTGTAAAGTCTTTAATAAGTGATATTTGTGCTTTATCCTGAAATACCAAAGAATATAGTATAACAAAGGGGAAAAGGTAAAGGGTCTATAAAAAAAAGTATCCATAAAAGCCACAAGTACCTTTTCAGTATGCATGCTTCAACTTTGAACTCTTAGTCCACTGTACATAGTTATATATCATCCTAACATTTGGAATAAATCTTAATGTTTAGATATTAATAAATCAAGCTTACCGCAATATTTATTTCTAATACTGGTACTTTAGATTTTTTCGTATTTTTTGTAAATCTTGATTTCTGATATAAAAAACAAAATAACGGATAAACAGTTCTGATTTATGTCCTCAATCAAAGAACTACCTCTTTCCTACTTTTGGTGGTAGATCAAATTTTACTGATTATATTTACATGAATGAAAATTTCAGCTTCATTATAGTACTGATAACCTTAATAAACTAAATAAATATAATTAAGTAATGCAAGGGAATAACTTGAATAAGCAATTGAAATTTCAATGTTTTCAGTGTTCTTGACTCCAGTTTTAAAATAAATTGGACATCTTTGAAAAGGACACAATATGGGATAGAGAGATCCAAAGAGGCTGTCATATTGTTCTATTTCATTGTTTGCTTTCCCACAATAATTCATCCTTGTAATTGAGATATGGACCTACAAGTCATGCTTAGATTGGTTTAAAATCAACATCACTAGAGCAGGAATGCAGCAGAAAAATTGTTAGATTACAATACAGAAAAATATCAGACAAGCCAAGTGATATATTTCTCTCAAGCCAAGTGATATATTTCTCTCAAGTCAAGTGATATATTTCTCTGAAGCCAAGTTATATATTTCTCTCAAGCCAAGTTATATATTTCTCTCAAGCCAAGTTATATATTTCTCTCAAATCAAGATATATATTTCTCTCAAATCAAGATACATATTTCTCTCAAACCAAGTTATATATTTCTCTCAAACCAAGTTATATATTTCTCTCAAGCCAAGTTATATATTTCTCTCAAGCCAAGTTATATATTTCTCTCAAGCCAAGTTACATATTTCTCTCAAATCAAGTTATATATTTCTCTCAAACCAAGTTATATATTTCTCTCAAATCAAGATATATATTTCTCTCAAATCAAGATATATATTTCTCTCAAACCAAGTTATATATTTCTCTCAAACCAAGTTATATATTTCTCTCAAGCCAAGTTATATATTTCTCTCAAATCAAGATATATATTTCTCTCAAACCAAGATATATATTTCTCTCAAATCAAGATATATATTTCTCTCAAATCAAGATATATATTTCTCTCAAATCAAGTTATATATTTCTCTCAAACCAAGTTATATATTTCTCTCAAGCCAAGTTATATATTTCTCTCAAGCCAAGTGATATATTTCTCTCAAGCCAATTGATATATTTCTCTCAAGACAAGTGATATATTTCTCTGAAGCCAAGTTATATATTTCTCTCAAGCCAAGTGATATATTTCTCTCAAGCCAAGTTATATATTTCTCTCAAGCCAAGTGATATATTTCTCTCAAGCCAAGTTATATATTTCTCTCAAGCCAAGTTATATATTTCTCTCAACCAAGTTATATATTTCTCTCAAGCCAAGTTATATATTTCTCTCAAGCCAAGCAAAGTTATATATTTCTCTCAAATCAAGTTATATATTTCTCTCAAGCTTATATTTGTCTACTATATTTCTGTATAGGTAACTGATATATGTATGTCTAGCTAATTATATGTGTTATCGAGAATAGATATGTTTAAACTTACTAAGGGATGAATTCTAGGCCTTCCTCTAGACAAACCACTATGTGCTTTCGGCTACAAAATAAATAGAATATTTCATACAGTAAAAAAAAACTGCACATGAAAATATTAATAACACCCTAGACCTAGGAGTAATGAAAATCTGTACTGCTTTGATATGTTTTTATTGAATTGCATTGCAGCAAAACGAGACATCCGGTTTAATTCAGAAAAATACCATGACTAGCTAACAATGAGCTTTTATAGCTTAAAAAGCAAATTGCCACAACTATATTATTTTGATTAATCTTACAGGTTCGAAGTACTTACTTTTGTCTTCTTCAATTCATCTGGAATCTTAGGGCGACCTCTTCCTCTTTTTACTTCTACTTCCTTAACTTCTTCCACATTCTATTCAATTATTTCAAAAACTGTTTAGGGATTTGATAATACTAATACAAGCCTCTTGTTCATTGACCAGTAAATTAAATTTTACAGAATAGTTTTATTCTTAAAAATCTGAATATCAGTTTAAAACCAATGCCAATACTAAAAGTCTTTAAATTGCATTGCATTTATAGAAATATAAAAATGCATACATGTACAGGGGAAAGTTTTTGGCCAAAAGTTGCCGTATACTAAAATAAAATGTTTTGGAAGTGTGTCTAGATGAAAGCTTAAACATACCAACTTCATATTTTTATCAATGCAAAGTTTCCAGGTTTATTCTAAATCTGATATCCCAATCAGGAAAAATATATCAAGGTTCACTGAATGATACAACTTGCAAATTTTCATGGCTTTGAAGCAAGAAAATATTAAAGCAGTAGACATAGTCCAAAGTGAATGTTATAATTCTATTTCTTAAAACTATGACATAATTCATTATCAAATATTGTGAAAGATACAATATAATATTAACTAACTTTTACCTCAGTTAATTCTTCTGTCATGTTCATTTCATTAACCTGAAAAATATATATATCACTATCAGTATATTGTATCACACCAATAGTAAGCCTAGAGCTTTTAAATAACTTTTTTCTACAACCAGTTTAGATTCTAGTACTGGTAAATATATCGGTAAATTGATGTTTTGCGATACAACATGCCACGAAACGCATATTGTATCTTGAGGTCTTGTATCGATACTTCACGATACCTGTTATTCCATACAAAAGTGGGGATATTTATAAGTTGGATTATGGAATAACTATCTTTTCACTGAAATTGTTAGAAACTATTTATTAGACAGTGGGTGCTAACCACTTCTATCAACTAACTTTATATTACCAAATGTCACAGTTATAAAGTTTTAAATTAATGTTATTGAAACTATGAAGATAAAATGTTACTGTATTGCAGTAATGTATGTATCGCAGCATGATTGGCGATGCCCAGCACTAATTTCTAAAAAATTATATCTTTACTACCATGGCATTAGTCATTACAGTAGGCCTACCAATAACAATAAACCAGTAAATTGTGCTAAATAATATGGTAAATATCATTTTATTTTTTAGAACAATTAAAAAAAATTACAAAACAATATGGCATTGGGAGATCCAAGGAATGTTTTCTCACTTGTTCCTTTGCAAATCAAGGGTTATGTTGGATGGTTAGTTTGTAGGCTACCATTTTCCATTGTTTGGCTGTTTAAAGACATGCCGGTAAAAAAGCAACGCAAGAGATCTTTTGTGCAAAATACAAACGAATTATATATCGTGTATACGCCCATGGCTCATTAAGCAACCATAGATTGAACATACTTTATCTATCTATGTAGAAAATCAAGATGAAGAAATGATAACTTATTCTGTAAATTAAGTTTTTTTTTTTACCTATTCAATAATGTAAACATATGCCGATCTAGATGAAGCTATGAACTAATTCGTAACCTAAATGTTTTATATTCGTTCTTCCAGCTACCTAACGTAACCACTGCATTAAAGGATAGTCCGAAAATAGCAATAGTCCTCCGTCCTGTAGTAGGCCTATACATCAAAATAGGCCTATAATCAATGAAGCAACCCCGGGAATGTGAACTATTTGTGGCATGGATAAATCCTTTAAGGCATATCCACTACTGCCATATATCGCCATGTATTAATAATGCGATCAATTAATTGACCATGCTTGATTTTCTTTATTGCAACAAATTGCAAATGGCCAATTTCAAACCGTGACCAAATCAGGCTACCGGTTACCAAGTGATCAAGTTAGATAAATGATATTTTGACAGATGTCCATGCACATGGATATTGTTATGAAAAAAAATATTTCTTCCAGTAATAATAAATAGTCTAGTATTAAGAGTGAAGAAGTTCCTAAAAACTCCTATGTAAAGCACTTACAAGGTCGCAAATCAAGAGATCTGATTGATATGAAGGGTGGAGTTGGCAGAGTTAGTAAACCTATTTAGTTTTGGATATAAAAACCGTACCAGCAGGAGCTTATATTATAGACAATTACAAGACGTTTCGTGTAGGCCTATAGAGGGGCCTACATTGGAAAATCTGTTTTGTAAGTCACTGTAATACTGTTTGACAATAGATGAAGTTTTGACAGCTGTATGATTAATAGTGGCAACAAATAGAATAATTTGTTTGTCATGTTGGATGTTAAGTCCAATTGGAGTCACCGTTTCGAGTGGTCCATCAGCAGCTTTCTGTATTTCTAGCCTTTTTGTTTGATGAGGTTAGTCTAGTATAAGGTTTTATACGAGAAACTCTCATTATTGATCCCGTACAAATACGACACTTGTTTTTTGTCTTTAGAACACAAAAAAAAACTTTAAAGATGGGTTTCCTTGTTTTTTATTGTCAAATTATAAGCAAACTATTTGATTAATTGATGTTTCTAATGAATTATCATATCATATCATTATGTTCCTATTGTATGTAATAAGGAGTTTTAACCAATCACAAAAATCCACTTATGTACAGTCTGGATAAAAGAAAAAGACTTTCTGACCTTTCCTGATCGGGATTTTGCTGGTAATTCTCATCTACTTTAACTAATTATGTGAGACAAACTGGTAGTTTTCCAAGTCATTTGAATACCTCTAATTTCTATCCATAAAAGTATAAGCATTTTCGTTTTTGTAAATGAAGATAGCTTGCCAGGCAAGGTAATATACGCCCACTGGCAGCTTTGATTTTGAATAAAAATATTTAGCAGTACAGTAACAATCACCAGTATGAAATATTCAACCTTCAGTCATACACTTCTTTTGAACTCTTTAGGGAGATACGGTACTGAATAATATTGATCAATTTTTAGCTCGTGAAAACTCTAGAAGGCAGATATTCAATCTTCAGCGCGGGACTGAATAATGAAACCAAGTTTTGTCAAAATCCAGTAAGAATCATGCCTTTTAGTGTTTAAGAGCTAAATTTGAAAGCGTTTTCCAGAACAAGGGCAATAACTCATACTAAATATTTTCAATTCTTCTGATTTTCAAAAGGGTTCATCCTTGGGTGATAACGAACATTCACATCAAGTTTCATCAAAATCTGTCAACAATTGTGCCTTCTAGAGTGATTACGAGCTAAAAATTGAACGCGTTTCCAATAGCAAGGGCAATAACTCTTAATAATTATTTTTTTTATTTTTCTGATTTTCAATAGGGTTTATCCTTCGGTGATAACAAACACTCATGCCAAGTTTCGTCAAAATCCGTCAAGAATTGTGCCTTCTAGAGTGTTTACGAGCTAAAAATTGAACGCGTTTTCAAGAACAAGGGCAATAACTCATACTAAATATTTTTCGATTATTTTGATTTTCAATAGGGTTCATCCTTGGGTGATTACGAACACTCATACCAAGTTTTGTCAAAATCCGTCAGGAATTGTGTCTTGTAGAGTGTTTACGAGCAATTGTGGACGGACCGACCGACGGACGGACGGACGGACATGGGTGACGGCAATATACGCGTATAAAAATAAGGGAACCCATCTTTAAAATGTGCCAAACAATAGCTGCGTTGTATCGTCTGACTTCTTTGAGTGGTAGGCCCTATAATAATATAATCAAATATGCAACTTTGAACGAAATATTCATACAATTAACCATAGACTTGGCTTCTTTTTAAAAACAATTTAGTACACATTCATGAACATAAAATGGTTGACAACTTTCACCACATGCTTGGCTTTCAAAACTAAAGGTAGTCCGTCCGTACCATGCAACATGGAAGTAAAAAGGTACTGGGAACCGTACGTGGCGCAATGACAACATGATGTGGTCAGAATTGATAAAAACTTTTAATATGTACGCAGTCCATAGTTATTATTATAGGCCTATAAAATAGTTCTAAGTCAATAGCCTGACTCTACTCTACATAATAAATTATGTGCAGGAGACTTTTGCACGGATTGATTTTCATTTTGTAAAATGTTGTTCAAAAAGTTATAAGTAATGAAAATAGAATATTACTGAATGATTATTTGGCTAGAACTGACAAAAAAAACAAAAAAAAAAGAAATATTTTTCCATAATGCGTTACAGATAAACGTGGAGATGTTAAATTTGAAGGTAACCCGGAAGCTGTCCCAACCGGAAGTACACTTTGTCAACAAACATTTTTGATGAGGCACCTCATGATAAATGAAAAATGAAGTTTTCTTTATTTATCATCTCGTATATTTTGGTTGTTATTGAGAGCAAAGATCTTTATGAAACTTTAGGGGTGACTAAAAGCGCAAGCACACAAGAAATCAAGCAAGCATACAAGAAATTAGCCCGAGAGTGGTAAGTTATGTATGTTTTCACTTTCAGACATGATGATACAGATAATCATTAATCATGGTACCGGTACATCTAAACGGTGATTTTTTTCGCGTTGCATATCAACTGAATGAAATCATTTTTCATCAAGCCAAAAGCCAGGTGTAGCTAAATTGTAGGCCTACAGAGTGAGTATCAGTATTTGAAATTGCTCTTTACTTTTCTCAGTAAAAACTTATGTTTTTACAATGATTATGTTTTATTACATCTTGTACTTGCAGGCACCCCGATAAAAACAGTGATCCATCTGCAGCTGATGTATTTACTAAAATTAATGAAGCTTATGAGGTTAGTTCGTAGTGAAGTCATTAAAATCTTGTAATTGGATGCCTTACTTAGAATGCACGTAATCCTCATAGGATTGACCACTGGAACTCTTGAAGTTTCCATAGTATATATAGTGTTATAAATAATATACTTTTTTTCTTGGTATTTTATTAGTGATGTCCTATTGTCGACGACAATTGATTATCGGTCGTGGAAAGTCCAACGATGTTACTAATCGATTCCAAACTGCAAGTTAGCGACGTCGGCAAACAATATATAAAAGTCAGTCATGTATTTTTATACGCCCACATGAATATGTGGTCGTATATTGTCGTTGCCCCGTCCGTCCGTCAACATTTCTTGTGAGCACTATAGAGACTACAGTTTTTATCTGATTTCGATAAAACTTGGTGTGATGCTTTAGATTGATAAGATCTCGGTCAAGTTCGAATTTGACATATTTTTGATGAACGGTTTTTGAGATATTGCCCTTGACTTAGAACGCCTTGAAATTTGTTAAAAATTGTTCGTGAGCAGGATTGAAGCTACAGTTTTCATCCGATTCTGATGAAACTTGGTGTGATCATTGGAATTCATAAGATCTCGGACAAGTTCTAACTTGACGCATTTTCGATGAACGGTTTTTGAGTTATTGCCCTTGACTTTGTTAAAAATAGTTCGTGAGCAGGATTGAAGCTACAGTTTTCAACCGATTTTGATGAAACTTGGTGTGATCATTGGAATTGATGAGATCTCGGACATGTTCTAACTTGACGCATTTTCGATGAACTGTTTTCGAGCTATTGCCCTTGACTTTGTTAAACGCTTCTAAATATGTTTGTGAGCACAATAGAAGCTACAGTTTTCAACCGATTTTGATGAAAATGGGTGTGATCAATGGAATTGACAAGATCTCAGACAAGTTTTAACTTGATGCATTTTCGATGAACGGTTTTTGAGTTATTGCCCTTGACTTTGTTAAACGCTTCTAAATATGTTTGTGAGCACAATAGAAGCTACAGTTTTCAACCGATTTTGATGAAAATGGGTGTGATCAATGGAATTGACAAGATCTCAGACAAGTTTTAACTTGATGCATTTTCGATGAACGGTTTTTGAGTTATTGCCCTTGACTTATTAAAAACGTGTCAAAATTTGTTTGTGAGCACAATAGACGCTACAGTTTTCAACCGATTTTGATGAAACTTGTTGTGATCATTGGAATTGATAAGATCTCGGATAAGTTCTAACTTGAGATATTTTTGATGAACTTTTTTTGAGTTATTGCCCTTGACTTTATAAACAGGCGTCAAAAGTTGTTTTTTGCCCTTGATTAGAGCTGTGTGATTTAATTGTTTGTTGTATTTGGGTTATTGATATTGATTTTAAAAAATTTTGTGGAATTACTTAGCATAAATAACTGGCATATATATACGTAATTGAATTCAATCTAATAAAATTTCTTCAATATGAGAAAATTCGTACTTTAGTCACTAAAGACTGTTTTATCATTTCTGACAGCTGCCAGTGGGTGTATGTTACCTTTTTGTTTTATGTTGATAATAAAAAAAAATTCTGCAAATACATTAAACTTAACTTATTATAAGATTGGGTGACTGAAACAGTGAGATCCTGATAATTTGTCACACCTTTGATTAATTTTTCTCGAGGACTAGTCTAAGATTCCGCACAGAAACAAATGATGCATGATTGTAACTATAAATAGTATCGTAGTCACAGATTGTGCTGAATAAGGTATTACTATTAAACTAAAGTAGATAGCAGATGACATTTGGGGACGTAGAGAAGATCAGCATAGATATGGCCTATTTGCAAGGATTCATCATGTAACGATTGAAATACGACACTTCTATTTGTAACAAAAGAATAATGACTTATAAATATCCATTTTCGTAAGAAATACCGCAAATCCAAGCTTTAAAAATTCTTGGTTAGTTTGGAGAATCTACTCATGCGACCTTGAAAATTTAGATCCAAGGTCACAGGTATAAATATGACAACTGCAAGTATTTCATCACTTCAATATCAACATTGAAGATATGAGTATAAGAAAAACCATTATTAAGGAAATATTATCAAAAGTGGATATGTCATGTAAGCCTATGTGAGGTATAGTCAATGTTGTGGAAAACGGCGACATTATCGCTCAATATTATGATTTCTGCGTTATGCCAATTTGTTGTTTTTTTTTCGTCCAGACATGCATTATTTACAGCAACAAATTTTTCAGATATACTCGTGTGACAAAGGGACGTACATTGCATGGATATACATTTGAAGTTAGAGAAAGACTACTACTGTTGTATTTATTTTTTGTACTATTTTTATACGCCCACATGGAAATCTGGACGTATGCACGATAGAGGCTATAGCTTTAATCTGATCTTGATGAAACTTGGTATGCATGTATATATTGATGAGATCTCAGTCAAGTTCGAAATTGGTAATAATCCGATGAATGGTTTCAGAGTTATTGCTCTTGACTTAGTAAAACGTGTTAAATTTGGCTTGTATGGATGATGAAGGCTGCAATTTTTATCTGATCTTGATGAAACTTAGTGTGCATGTATATATTGTTGTTCAGATCTCGGTCAAGTTCGAAATTGATAATAACCGGACGAACGGTTTCAGAGTTATTGCCCTTGACTTAGTAGAAAAGCTTCAAATTTTGCTTGTAGTCATGATACCGGGTGCAGTTTTTATCTGATCTCAATGAAACTTGGTATGCATGTATATATTGATGAGAATTTCGAATTTGGCTTGTAGGCCTGACAGAGACTACATTTTTTATTCGTTTTTTGATGAAACTTGGTACAAGATCTCAGTAAAGCTTGAAATTAGTAATAATAGGATGATTGGTTTCACATATTAAACCACTACAGACTTTGATATCATTTCTGACAGCTGGTAGTGGGCGTATGTTACCTGGCAAGCTATCTTTGTTATTTATATGACACTACTGTATAACTTTTATTAAAAGTACATGTACTTAATTAATAGCAAGACTTCTACATCATTAAAATTTTAAACTGCTGTGTAATTTCGGTCCATAGAGCAAAAAAGTTTGTATATCAAAAAACTATGAAATTAATTTATAAAGCATTCAAACATGTTCTCCGATTATTTTGATGAACCAATTATTATTTTATTCCGATTGCTCATCACCATATTTTATGCATTGTTTGAAATACAAAAGAAAGGTCATCATTACCCTTCAGCTATGTGCTAATAGATAGTAAGTTTATCTATAACCTTATTTCATTTCCATTAAGCAATGTTGTTTTTTTTAAGAGACACCACTGAAGATTCCTTTAGGATTATTTACATTTTATTTCAACATAGGCCTACTCATATTTGCATTAACAGATCAGATTGTCAAATCTTTTAATTTATTCAGACACTAGGAAGTAAAGAGAAAAGAGCAGCCTATGATAATTTTGGACATACTGCAGGGCATCAAGAGCCACAAAGGCATGGATTTCATTATGGTGGATTTCAAACATTTGATGAGTTTTTTGGTGGTGGAGGTGGTTTTAGATTTAATCACTATGGTAATAAAGATTCGGTTATAGGAAAATATACTATAACCTTAAGGTGAATAAAAACTTACCAGTTTTATAACAATGCCCAGGATTTTGCTCAAAAAAAATCCTAATTATGCTACTGTGGTTGATGTTATTCTTTTCTGTAGTTTAATGAATTATTTTGATTTTGTGAAATCAATTGCAGATGAAAAGTTATGTCCCGAAAATCCATCCTTCAACCTTAATAGAATATTATTTGTCATACATTATGGAATGAAAATCGGTGTCATCACTTACAACAATTTATCTACAATTTGGTCTATATTTCAGGAAATATGAAAGTATTATAGTACCAGAAAGTCACTTCAAACCCTGTTTTATATATGTCTATAGTGATTTCTGTTTTAACTGTATGAGAGTTGAGCCACTTATAGAGAAAATTCTAGTAGAGTTAGATAATATAGGTAAGATCATATTACTATTTCATTGGCAGTGTGGACAACTATCTGTTACTTATTTATCAGTCTACAGATAATATTGAAAATATCTTGTCTGGCAGAGTTTGAATAGCTTTGCTTTCCTCTGATTGGTGATTCTTTTAGCAAATGAAAATTTAAAAATGAAATAATAGGCTTTATAGGATTTGTCTATAACAAGAAAAGATGATGAATTAAAGCAGAAACTTATTGGTTTAGTTGTCAATTTTTGCAATTTTCTTTTTTTCTAGTTTTGCAAAGATGCTTCATTGATTTTCTTAAATTTGATTTGATTTTGTAGGTTTATGTGTTGGTACGTTTCATGCAAGAGATAGTTCATCTTTAACATCGCATTTACGTATTCATAATGTACCTTCAATACTGTCCATTGTTAATGGCCGGCCGTCTTTTTTCAATGACCATCTTAGCATGCAGATATTACGAAATTATGTTCGAGGTCTATTTCCTAAATCAACTTTAACAAAGGTAAAATTTTTGATAAATTTTGCTAATGTAATTTTCTTTTATGACCGTGTTTATTACTCACTGGGTAGATTTCTGAACAAAAAAAACAACTACAACAAACAAAAAACCAAACTTTCTGCACAAATTTATCAGGCAAACTGGAATTTAGTTGGTATTGTTTGATTAGGGTACAAAGGCTTTTGCATAACATGCTGAAAATCATTTTATTAGAGCATCACTTAAACTGTATTTCCATTTTGTGAACAGAAGAAAAGATTAATTTACAAAAAAACAACATGAATCATAATTCTTGATTAAAATAAAGTTTTCTGTGTAAAAGGGTAAAGTTAGGCTCTGAGAAGGGAGTACCCAGAACAAATTGCAAGATTTTGTTTCTCATCTTAGATAAGTTATATACATGTGTATGAACCCATACACAAAACCAGGTGGATCGGTTACCATTACAACCATGTCTTATTAGCTAAAATCCAAAATGGTGGCCATGGATTCATAAAATCATCAATATCTATAAAACGATGCACTCTAGATAAAAATAATGTATTAAGTGCAAATAGGTAATCGACCTGTCTGAGTTCAAAAATCACAACTTCATTGGTCTGTGACGTCAAATGGGCAAAAACGTTCACACATACATGTGTGGTTAAATTATGAATCATCAACGCATTAAAAGTACGTAAAACATTAATAGTTATGGTGAGAAATACTGCATTAATTTCCATATTATAAACTGTAGTAACATACAAATTAAGAACGTGACATGTTATGCTCCATACAAATTGTCTATAATTCGAATTCCTCATCATCAGAGTGTTCACATAGTTCAGTGACCATTGTTGTGAGTTCAAACATGCTGTGCCTTTACATTCGGAGCATGCACCAGTACAGTCTAATCCATTCTTTTTACATGAACATCGCTTCGAGTTACAATCACCTTGCAGCTACATCTTATCATTTGCAGCAAACTGTCCGGTGCAGGTGGTAGTTTCATCTTGATAGCTTTGTATCTTTGATGTAGAAGAGTCCATCCCCACTCGTTTGAACTAAGATGATTATCTTTCCAGCATTGGACCTGGTGATATACTCTCATTACGTGATACTTGGCTGAGTCTGATGTCAGTGGTAAGCATTCAATGGTGACATGCGAGTTCCTTGTCGAAACTTTCTCTCGAAATTTTCGATACCGTAGCTCATTTAGGGTTTCATGTTTGAGGCCACCGTATATGGCAACTAGTACCCTTTCACCAGCTGCCATTACTTCTGCTTTTCTTGAATCTGTTCTCAAAAACAATTTACATATATTACGGAAATATTCAGATTTTACAGCCTTTTTCAGAACCATACCTTTGCCGATTCCAAACATTCTTGAAACTGTATCACAGCCTGTTAACACATGCAATAATGGTAGGATTTTACACATTTCTTCACCAAGTCCGTTTCTCAGAGTACCAATGTCCCATTTATATCTTGAATTCTTGCTCTCAGACCGGAAGAACAGTCAGCCACTTTCTGTTACGTTTGAGTGATAACATAACAGTGCTAATATGTCATTATCTTCGCCAAGCAAAGTAGTTACACCTTTTTGACTGGAATCAATCGCAGTTTTTACAATCAGTAAGTCAGCATCACCTACAGCGACTTTTGTTTCAATACCATTCTCATGTAACCGATTTATCAACAAATCGATAAAGATCCTTTTGTTGGTTTCATTTGCTAAGAATTTTCCTTTATTAGACTTCAATGGCTTTTTACCACTAAAACCAACAATGGTTGGTGCCATTATGCCCTTTGTTCGCCTTAGATGAGCCTCATCTTTCGTGGATGGACCGTTGTACCCATCAAACAAAACCCTAGTATTAGGATACTTAAGCAGAAATTTTATATATGACATACATATATCATTGAAAGTGACAACTGATGAGTTTGTTTGCTTCCTCCATCATACAACATGAAATTCCGAAATAGAAACTTCCTGAATTGCAAAGCTACCCAACACTTCTGAAAGTTGTGCCTTGTTAGCCTCTCGCATCATACCACTATTATCAAAAAGGGATGCAGGATGACCTGTACGTTCGTATGTAAACAGGTCAGATATGTTGTTCATGTCTGTTCTCTGTTCGCCTAAGATGATCAATCGCTGGAACAAAAGCTGAGGATGGACTTGGAACGTTTTCGCCTCTAATTGTTACACTATGTTTTGCGGCCATGGTGACAACTTCGTCTTTCTTACAAAAGAAAATGTCAAGAGCATCTTTTCCATACATATTTTTCATTATTTGCACTCCAATTTCACGGGCTTTGTAGCAATTCACGTCAGGTGCAGCAATTTCGCCAGTTGTTATATTCCGGAGTTCATCAGAGAACTCGAAAGGATTATGTTCAATCAGATACTCTAAAACGACTCTTGTATTGTGCGTGTCTTGTTTGACACGGCCACCAGCTATTTCTTTGTGCTGATCGCTACTTGTTTGTCGTATGTTTGTAAAATCCTGCATGGACTCATTATACAAGGCATAAAATGGCATAGACTGAATCCATATGTTTCTCTGAGCCTCATTCATTACACCACGACCATGTACCAATCCTCCGGTCCTCTTGATAGTCCGCATCATTGTCTGCTCAATAACCAAATCCTTTGACAGACCTGCCCACTGTCTGTCTGACCGTCTTATAACGAATAATCCTTTACTAAACAAGTCATAGATGGTTGCATGTTTCTCCCGTAACTCCATCATATCCTATACGTAAATTTGAACCGATTTTGGTTAATGCCTATGACCTGATGCGGCAAAAAAATAAATCACTTCTTGGAGGCTGAAGATGTGAGTTTTCCAATCTCCCAACCGTTGGGAACATAGAAAAGACTATCATACTCATCATTTGTAGCCAGAGATCAGCGGTTTTGTGATTTAAGAGAGACTTCTCCATGTTCAGATCAGTAACTTATCTAATAACAGCATTGTGTCTTTCAGGTCTTGATCTAATTCAATGTCACATACGGTGTCAGTGAGGTTTACATTACGACACCTTGATAGCAGCATCGCATTCAAAAATGTATCTACGCTGAATAATCGCCATAAACTTGACACAAGACCTCACGTAAACCAGAATTTATGTCCGATTGCAGCTATGAAACTCATCATTGTATGAAAACCACCAAGTTCAAGAACAACGCACTTCAAATCACTGCTCGCCGGTTCATTGTTAATCATCTTCCGACTCTTCCACCAGAGTGGCTGGTCAGATGTGATGATCGGAGTGCAGCTATACTTCTGACACTGTCTTGACACGTATTTTAGCGTGGAATAAATACAGGAGAGATTTGTTGGTTCTAAATCAATCAAAGGCAAAAATTTTATCGTGGATTTACCAAAATATGAAGGGGCATATCTTTATGTTCATGGTAATAGAGAATAGGTATATTAGAGTTCCTTTCTCTCCTGGCTGCTAATTCTGTTCCTGTGAGACGTTTAATGGTTGCTCTTTTCAAAATGCTGGCGTGATTGTCTCAATAATTCCCATTGCGTGGAATGATCGCTTTCCATCCAGTGTGTATGGATTCCGATCAGCATTGTCACCAATAAATTGAAAATTACCTGTAGGAAGTTTGAAGTTGGTGTCAAATGTTGGGACGAAACATGCTGACCAGATGTGAAGGAATCCCCGGTAGATATAGACTCGGTATCCATCTGCAAAGGTTGAACCACATGCTCAAGAGACGATGTTTGTTAGCCACTAGCACCATCATTTGACCCCGTGTCGTTCTGTGTTTCTTCCGTTACTAGTTGTGTACACATGTGATCAAGTTCTGGAAATGAAGGTCCCTGTTCGAACTCTAAAGAAGCGTCACCAGATTGTGCAGCTGCACATTGCTCAAACAATCGCACTTCAGAATACGAAGAAAAGATCCCTTGACAGTGAAGATTGTCTATGAGGCTACGTGAACCATAATTATGATGCATTTGAACTGCCAGTCCAATTTGTAAAGGCGCAGTAATGCAGCGTGGTCTTGTGGCTTGTACCATACATTGGCCAATTGAAGCAATTTTCTGATATTTGACGGTACCAACGAAGAGCTCATCCAAGAAAATTTGCAGAAGGTCCGGCAGGAAATCATTCATTCTTTGTAAAGAACATAGTTCATCGGGGTCCGGATAATACTCTTTAGAAAATTTGACATATTTCTGTATGATTTCGCTTTTTATCAAAGCAGCACTAGCCATTATTATTCTACGTTTCTCTGCGTTTTCATTGCCTGTTTGAATTTGATTCCTGTGATACTGCTGAAAAATTTCCGCGGCAGTTCGATTAAATGTAACTATGATTTTATGCATCCATGGTGGCCATTTTGGATTTCGGCAAATTAGTCATGGTTGCCATGGCAACCGATCCGCCTGGTTTTGTGTATAGGTTCATTTCTGGTTAAAAAAAAAATCTTGCAGTTTGTTCTAGGTACAATGTTATCTTCACCCGCCTATATATAGATGTGTTATGTTCTTGCACTTTTTAAATTATATATTTGTTTTAATTTTTCAGATAACTGACACCAACTATGAGAAATTTCTCTCTGGATATTCAGACAATAGAATTCGTGGAATTTTCTTCTCACCCAAAAATGAGCCTTCAACAAGATTGCTGGCACCTGCTTTTTATTATCAAGAAAGAGTAGCATTTGGTTTTGTATGTACTCACAGTAATGAGGCTATAATATTACTAAATAAATTAAATATAAACAGAAACAGAGATACACTGTTATTATTTAATGAAGATGCCACCAATCCTGTAGCTTCTGTTACAGTAAGTATCAATTTATAGGGCTATGGTTATGTTTAATAACCATGTTATGGTAAAAATTGATTTTACTCACCGTATCAATAATCAAAATGGATATAATATAAGTCATTGTTTTGAATATAAGTATTGTGAATTTTGATTTTGATTAATACTTTAATTGTAAAAATTGATTTTACTCACTATATCAATAATCAAAATGGATATAATATATGCTTAAGTCATTGTTTTGAATATAAGTATTGTGAATTTTGATTTTAATTAATACTTTAATTTAAGTAATTAAGACTTCAAATTAAATTTCAAGTAAAGAAATTTAAGAGTAAGTCAATTGAATCAATGTTTTCTATAAATAGATGCAGCAACTATCACGTAAAACAGTAGATGAATTAATAGATAGTAATTTATATTTACAATTACCACGGTTATCATCACAGTCATTGTTTGATAAATTATGTCCTGAAGAATCTCGACGTAAAAGTAGAAGGTAGTTAATATACTTTTCTTCAAAATCAACATTATTTTAACATAATTAACCCATTATTATTAGTGAATATTACTTATTTGTTTTAGATTCTATATAGACAATTTTGAATCCAAAAGATTGTCTTATTTCTTTCATGCCATGCTCATAGCCGATAGATAAAATGATATGAATATTATTTCTCTAGGTTTCTGTAAGGAGATAATGGATTTGATTAAAAAAAACATCATCTCAGTTAATACATTATTTTAATCTTTTTGTATTGTAGACTATGTGTTGTGTTGGTAACAAAGAAAGCAAATGAACATGACAACCATAGAGCATTGTTTCGACAGTTTGCTGTAGATTCTAAGTTCCCACAAGAACGTGTGAGATTTACCTATATGTATGAAGATACACAAGAGAAGTTTATTAAAGCTTTAACTATGGGAAATAAAACAAGATCAAATGATGTATTAGAGGTAGGTAGAGAGTAGTTATAGAACTATTTCATCCAAGAATGTTCTGAAATTTTCTCGTGTCCGACTGACATCACTTATGAAAATACGAAATGTTTCCATTTCTGAAATAAATTGTATCCAATACAATAAATTGGATCTTACAATATTCAATGTTCATTGTTCACCATATTTCTGATCTGCAATATCGGAAATAAATTAATATTACCAGTTCATTGTACATATTGATCAGGCCCCAATAGTTTAATATGTAAGCCTTGTCTGCATTAGCCACATAATGCACTGAAAAGTAAGAAAAAGCTTTATTATATTTGCTAATTTTTAAACTCTAGGTTGCTATACTATGGAAGATGGATACCAAGCGTATTAACTATGAGTTTTTAGAGTATGGTTGGAATATAAGAGAGAATAGTATAGGATTAAGTAGGAATAGTCTAAATGCCAGATTACATGAGTTATTAGAGAACAATGGATATTTAATGTATAAAGTGGTTGTACCAGAAGTCTATAATGAACATGCTTTGGTATGTATATTATAACTATATATATTTGAAATAGATAAACTAATACCTCTTTTAGAGTTAGATTATATGATTGGTTTGATACAGGTCTAGTATTTATTATGTTATATATTTGATTGTAGAGTCTAGTAACAAGAATATTATTTAGATTATATGATTGGTTTGATACAGGTCTAGTATTTATTATGTTATATATTTGATTGTAGAGTCTAATAACAAGAATATTATTTAGATTATATGATTGGTTTGATAGAGGTCTAGTATTTATTATGTTATATATTTGATTGTAGAGTCTAATAACAAGAATATTATTTAGATTATATGATTGGTTTGATACAGGTCTAGTATTTATTATGTTATATATTTGATTGTAGAGTCTAATAACAAGAATATTATTTAGATTATATGATTGGTTTGATAGAGGTCTAGTATTTATTATGTTATATATTTGATTGTAGAGTCTAATAACAAGAATATTATTTTGATTATATGATTGGTTTGATACAGGTCTAGTATTTATTATGTTATATATTTGATTGTAGAGTCTAATAACAAGAATATTATTTAGATTATATGATTGGTTTGATAGAGGTCTACTATTTATTACCAGGTAGGTTACATCAGCCTCTTTTTTTTTTCTTTAACATTTCTGTCATTGATATGTACATGTCTTTGAATCTAGAAAGGAAAGGTTTCATAGGAGTTATTGCCTTGTTCTTGAAAACATGTCCAAATTTTAGCTCTTAAACACTAAAAGGCATGATTCTTGCCTGATTTTGACAAAACTTGGTTTTATTATTCAGTAATTGAATATTTGCCTTCTAGAGTTTTCACGAGCTAAAAAAGTTTTCAAGAATAAGGGTAATAACTCAGTATTATTCAGTATCGCCCTAAAGAGTTCAAAAGAAGTGTATGACTGAACTTTGATTATTTCATACTGGCAGTTGTTACCATATTGCCAAATAATTTTATTTAAAATCAAAGCTGCCAGTGGGTGTATTTTACCTTGCCTGTCAAGCTATATTATATTTATTTAGTTTAACATTACATTTGAAATACATTTTTCTATTTTCCTTTTCTACTGACACATAAGAGCTTATTGAGTTTTATATAAGCCCACATTATTGTGGACTGAAATGTAGGACTTCACGTTGTGTATTTTTAATAACTTTATTACAGTGATTTACATAGAGGAAAAGATGGTTACAACCTCATGCCACGTTGTTGACTGTATGACGGCATGCTTGGAAGTGTCGAAAGCGTGGCTTTGGTACAAGTTCATTTATTGTATTTATTGTTGTTAATACATTATATTAGTCCGAGGCACCTAACTTTAATTGTCTTTTTCTGAAGATTCCACAATTATAATGGAATGGAAATGTGGACGTATATTGCCGTAGCCCCTGTCTGTTGGTCCGTCAACATTTCTTGTGAACATAATAGAGACTACAGTATTCAACTAATTTTAATGAAATTTGGTGTGATCATTTATATTGATGTGTTCTTGGTCAAGTTCGTTGACTTAGGAAAAACATGTCAAAATTTGTTTGTAAACACAATAAAGACAACAGTTTTCATCCAATTTCATTGAAATTTAGTGTGAATATTTATGATGATAGGATCTTGGACAAGTTGGACTTGGCTATCATTCGATGAACGTTTTTTGAGTTATTGCCCTTGACTTAGGCGAAATGTGTCAAAATTTATTTGTGAACACAATAAAGACTACAGTTTTCATCCAATTTAAATGAAATTTGGTGTTAAAATTTATATTGATGAGATCTTGGACAAGCTCGAATTTGGCTATCTTTGATGAATGGTTTTTGAGTTATTGCCCGTGCCATTGACAAAATGCGTCAAAATTGGCTTGTGAACGCGATAGAGAGTACAGTTTTAAATGAAATTTGGTATGATCATTTGTATTGATGAGATCTTAGTCAAGATTGAATTTGACAATTTTGCGATCAACAGATTTTTAGCTATTGCCCACGACTTACTAAAAACACATTAAAATTTGTTGGCGATAGAGGTGACAGTTTATGTCAGAATTTTTATACGCCCACATGAAATGGGGGGGCGTATATTGTCGTCACCCATGTCCGTCCGTCCTTCCGTCCTTCCACAATTGCTCGTAAACACTCTACAGGGCACAATTCTTGACGGATTTAAACGGAACTTAGTATGTGTGTTCGCAATCACCCAAGGATAAACCCTATTGAAAATCAGCGAGATCGAAAAATATTTAGCAGGAATTATTGCCCTTGTTAATTTTTAGCTCGTAAACACTCTAGAAGGCACAATTCTTGACAGATTTTGACGAAACTTGGTATGAGTGTTCGTTATCACCCAAGGATAGACCCTATTGAATACAGCGAAATCGAAAAATATGTAGTATGAATTATTGCCCTTGTTCTTGAAAACGCGTTCAATTTTTAGCTCGTAAACACTCTAGAAGGCATAATTCTTGAAGGATTGTAATGAAACTTGGTATGAGTGTTCGTAATCACCCAAGGAAAAACCCTATTGAAAATCAGCAAAATCGAAAAATATTTAGTATGAATTATTGCCCTTGTTCTTGCAAACGCGTTCAATTTTTAGCTCGTAAACACTCTAGAAGGCACAATTCTTGACAGATTTTGACGAAACTTGGTATGAGTGTTCGTATTCACCCAGGGATAAACCCTATAGAAAAATCAGGGAAATCGAAAAATATGTAGTATGAATTATTGCCCTTGTTCTTGAAAACGCGTTCAATTTTTAGCTTGTAAACACTCTAGGAGGCACAATTCTTGACAGACTCTACAAGTCACAATTTTTTTGTTCATAATCACAATTTACAGTAGATGTCATTATTTTCCTGAGAAACTATTTTGGTTAACAAATAAGAAAATTTAATTTTATCATTTAACATGTCCCTAACCAGCCACCATACATGTACAGCATCATAAGATACTATAAATAGACCAAGTGGAAAATCCAAGACAGATATCCAATCATAGCTTGGACAATGTGTACTTGCTGTAAAACTTCATTTCAAAGTATTTCTCGATTTTATGTCAACAAGTGCTAGAAAATAACTAGTAATTCTTATTGTATATTACCATTTTCAATACATTCCAATTATTTTGATTCTCTTTGCACTTCAATTCTAATCATTATTAATCACTCTACAGCATTATTCATGTGATTTTACTTCAGCTTGAGTGTTTAGTGACTAAATTCTTTTTCACAAAAAGGTTTTTTGGAGATACACAACTTGATATTGGTCTGGAGATGCACAACTTGATATTGGTCTGATTCTTGAGAGGTTGATATTGGTCTGATTCTTGAGAGGTTGATATTAAGTAGCTTTTTTAACAAATTGAAAAGATTATATGATTACATTTCGAACATTTCAACTTCAACTTTGACAATAAACTGAGGTCAAGAATCAATTACCAAATTGAAATCGATTATTGAAAACAGGCTACTGATCAAAAATTTTAATGAAGAAATCTTCTGATTTCCGTCTATTGATGTATATGGTTGTATAAATTTGTCATTTATTCCTATCTGGTTCATAGAATTTCTAAAATATATAATTATCACATATAATCTGA